CATTGTGTAAACCTTGGTAACTTGACCCTGATTTTACTGTATCTCTTTGGTGATGTCTTTTACAGTGATGATATTTCCTTTATTAATGTACCATAGCTAGTTTCTTTTTTGTTTATTTTATTTCATTTTTGGTTGGTACTGAGAATTTAATGGAAGGGTACTTTACCACTGATCTACATCCCCATCCCTTTTTATTTTTTATTTTGAGACAGGGTCTTGCTAAGTTGTGGAGGGCCTTGCTAAGTGTCTGAGGCTGGCTCTGAACTTGCAATCCTCCTGTCTCAGCCTTATGAGTTGCTGGTATTATAGGTATGAGCCATAATGCCTGGATAGCTAGTTATTTTTTATTGAGATTAGAATCTAATTAAGGAGGCTGAGGATATAGATAATGCATAACAAAAACAAGCAAACAAAAACTCCAACAAATATAATATCTAACAAAAGGAAGAGGTTGTCAATTTGTTTTCACTTTGATGTCTATTTTATGCAGCATTGGAAAACTATATCTTTTGATGAAGTGAAGAAGACACTAAGTTGGAGACAGAGCTAATAAATTACGCCTTGATCGTTAGGCAACTACACCCCAAACACTTTTTCTCCCCTGAATCTAGAAAATTCGATGTTAGTATTTTAGTTTAATTTAGTACCTGGCATGTGGGTGCTCAATAATTTTTTTCAAATTAATTCATTAGAGTGGCTTTATGATCCAGCAACCACTATATAATTGAATTAGTTAATAGAAGAAAACAATAAAATTTGGAAAGAAGGGAAGCATAGGAAATTCTTCTGAAATATACAAAACATAACCAAAAGCTTTTCTAATATTTGAGGATGATTTGAATCCTTTTTGATTCTTATTCTTGAATATCATTAGGCATTGGCACATTCTCTGTTTAAATGATTAAATTTTTATTTGCAGGGAAACTTACGGTTTCCAGAAAACTTTTGAGATATTATCTAATTAATTCCAGTAACAACTTGTGAGGTGGGTTGTACAGATATTGTTATCTCCACTTTTCAGAAAAGCAAGCAACTGGTAAAGGCGAAAAGAGAAGGGATTTTCCTAATATCATACAGCTTGTGTATATGAAATAGTGATGAAAGCAGAACTCATTTCTTCTGATGACCAGTTCAGGGCTTTTTCAGATGTATAAATCCTTAATCTCTAGGAAAGAAGTCTGAACTCCCTTATCCTCGCATCGAAGCTGAACAATTTATACAAGTGCTATGGCTCAGATTCCTTCTCAGAATGTTCCAGCATCGTCCATCTTAACTGCCTCTTCCCTCCATTTTTATTTCTGAAGTATTTTCCCTTCAGGAGCAGACTCTTCTTTCTCCCTAATTAACTTTTATGTGGAAACTTCTATCATAATGAAATCACATGTGCCCATGTTCGCTTGCCTGGTTTTCTTTTTAGTGCACCTGGAGGGAGAAGCATTTTCTGCTGTCTCACTGCATTATCTTGCTGAGGGGAGGAATATGTAGGAACTCAGATAACTACCTTCCTGAGAGTCAACCTTTTTTTTTTTATCAAACATTCTTTGGTATAGGCACAGCTTTGATATTAGCAGAAGTTGCCCCTTGTTGATAATTAAAATGCATTGGTTCATGATGTTGGCAGCAAAGCAGCCTGGCAACATAAACACAAACATGGACTGTGGAGGCAGATCAGGTTTGAATCCTGGTGCTGCTACTTACTGGGCAATTTAGCTCACTTTCTGCAGCTGATTTCCTCTTCTGCGCAGTGGGGATAATATATTAGCGTTATCTACCTTGCAGGGTTGTTGAGAGTGTTGAAGATAAATCATGGGTACTTTGCTTAGGGTGAAGGAGGTCACAGAAAAATACCATCCTCTTGCTAGACTACAGATCAAATTTGTGTGGCACATCTTCCATTTCCCCTGAAACTCCTGTACCCTCCCTGCCCTAGCCTAGGAGACTTCCTGCCCTAGAAGGCTGACCAGCAAGAAACCCATCAGCAGCTTCCTTTGCCCTCTGGCCCAGTGGAATTTGGCTATTGGAGGGTCCTGGCAGGAGATCAGAGGCAGGGAGGAAAATGAGATTCTGTGCCTTTCCTCATCTCTTTCCTTTCAGGATTACCTGGGGCTAACTATGTCCCAGAGAGTAACTTCCCTCTTGGAGGCAACCTGTTCTGGCTGAGGTGACTCTTTATTCCTAGGTATTGACAACCCATCCCCTCTGTGTACACCCCCAACCCCAACCCCAACCCTGGGAATAGTGGAGTAAAAACTCCATCACTGCTAGCTCCAGAGACTGCACTTCTTATCCACATCATCTTCAGTAGTCTTTACTAAACCCTCTTAAATGATCCTAGTATTAATATGCTGCCTCTTTACCCTGGGACCCTAACTGATACATTATTCATTATTTTTTAGTTGAAAATATGTTTGCCTAGGAATGTTTTAAATAACGGAGATTAGCACTTTGAGGAGAAAACATAAAATTGGTTCTTTTCATTGTTTCTTGACATTTGGTACTAAGAGAAGAAAAAGATGATGATGATGATGATGATGATGATGATGATGATGATGATAGCCATAGCTAAGCATCTCTTAGGTGCTATCTCTTAGCCTACTTCATATACATTTTCTCATTTGAGCTAAAAACTCACATGTATATTATTATTACCACCCTTTTTCTCAGAGAGGTTAAGTGATTTACCTAAAGGTAATGCAGAACACTCGGGAAGAGCTGAAATTCCAATCTGTACCTATTTGGTTCTGAGGTCCACACTCTTTTATGGAGGACATGCTTCCTAGGTACCAGGCTGAGAAGGGCCCTTCTGTCAGCAGTCAGTTTTCAATTAACTTCATTTGTCTATTCAAATTGCTATAGGTTCTAAATTCCTATAGGAAAGCACCTCTTAACCATGGCCTTTAAAGCTCTCAAAGTAAACTTTTTAAAAATTTGATTGATTCAGCAAAACTTATCAGGTCTAATCCATTTTTTGTCTAATTTGTTAATTTAAAATCTTTGAATCACTTGCTCACTATGGGCAACTATTTCATGGTTGCCTATAAAGGTACTCATTAATATAGAATATATAATTAAATTAAATATATTCTCTGATAATGTGTAAGCTTCCTGCAGCACTTAATTTTTTCTTTCCTTCCTCAGTGTAGTGTATTTAGTTTATGGCTTCTGTTATTTCGATCCACTTCTTAAACTAAATGAATCACATAATTTCATAGTTTCCTAGAACCTATAAAGGGCTCAGCATCATGACTACTCTGTAAAGGTGACTATGCTCCTGGAGGTGCACGAGTTGAGAAATTTCTCTTTGTGGATTAGCTCCTCCCTCCAAGCTCTGCGCTCTTAAAATAAAAGTCCAAAGACACTCAAAGAAACAGCCTTTTTTTTTTTTCTAGCAAACTTACATTTGACTGTGCATTTTTTTCTCTAATCTTTAGGCAAGTATTTTCATTAAGTTCAGAAGAAAGCTTTTTCCCTCAGTACTCTTTGGGTTCCCAAGTTGCAGCTAGGGAACTCTTAGCAATAATATACTCCATTTCTTTGTTTTTAACTCCATCTTTTGTTTGGCCCCCTAAAGCTATCTGCCTTTTATTATCAGAAGTCTTGAGGGGTGACTTACATATGTTCAAAGCATGTTTTATCAGCCTTGAGAGAATGGCAGTGCAGGATGTTGAAGAGCCTGGTGAAGGTCCCTCTCCACTGGTGGTCCTGGGTTCTCTAAAACTGATGGATGGCTTCATACTGGGGCCCACACGGACACTGTTCCCTGAAATCTTGCCCATTTTTTTTTCAATCATTTTAGTAAAACTAGATCATTTAGAGCTTGATTAGTATTACTCTGTTCCCTAAACCTCAGGCACAGGTGTCCTTTCATTCTTCTTTTTTTTTCCCCTGAGAACCTTAGGACAATGCAAATAATGGAACTATATGCTGCTGCTAGCATTGACCTACACCTACAATGTCAGCTTACATCTGTATTGTAAGAGTTTTTGTGTTTTGGTGATGCTTGTTTGCCTCATACCCTTTCCCATAGAGTAAGTTCTTTCCCCAATTGCTCTTTAGCCCACATGCAAACATATCCTATGTATATGCAAATCGTGGTCAGATATAGTAGACATGAAGACAACACATACAGCTATTAAATTTGCTCTTTCCACCAAACACAGAATCTTCATCCTAGTCTCTAGTGGAAAGTGAAGTTCAGGAAATAAGGCCATCAATATCATTTTCATGACAACTCTTTTGAAATGTTCTTTGAATTACAGCTATTGCTTATCTAGGTAAAGTGCCTTCAATTTTCTCAAGCATTCCTTGCAACCTCTTTGAACTAAAGGAATAAAGAACTCACTAAGTTTACTGAAGAGCCACTGGGACGGCATCAGTGTCTTGTGGATTATTGCTCAGGAAATCAGAACCATGACCCAGCTCCCAGGCTCTTTCCTTCAGATGTAGGAAGATTCCCCAAGTGGTGGACAAGGCTCAGTTGATGATCTCTTGGTTGAAAGTTAAGGGTCCAAAATTGTCCCAGTAAGAATCAACACATAGGGGCTGGGGTGGTGGCTCAGGGGTAGAGCGTTTGTCTAGCACATGCAAGGCCCTGGGTTCGATCCTGATCACCACATAAAAATAAATAAAAGTATTGTGTCCAACTACAACTAAAAGTAATATTTAAAAAAAGAATCAACACATAATACAATTCAGCTACATATTCATTTCTTATAGTAACATTAGGTTGTGGTTACCATACCTATTTTTTTCAGCCACTGAAAAAGTAGACTTGAATGTTTAATGGAAAACAGATGGTGCTTGAAATCTCTAACTTACATTTTAAAAAAGCTGTTTTGGAAATGTTGTTTGTATGTACTTTTGTTGTTTTAAACACATCACCATTTTAGCCTGTTTTGATGAATTATTTAAGAGTTATGTTCCTAGGCCAAAATAGCATTTTGAAGTGCACGTGTTAATCATATACTTGATTAAACATTTCCTTGCTTTTTTTTTTCCAGCATTCCAGTTGGCTTTTGAGTGGATAATTGTGGCAGTGAGAGCACTGACGTTGGAAACAACTAGTGCCCGTTTGGATTACTTAAAACACAACCATGAAAAGAAATACGTGTGATTTGCTTTCTCGGAGCAAGAGTGTAAGTACCTTTTATTTTCGTTTATTTTCTTAAAGTGTGTATTTATAACTTGTACTGTATTCTTTGGATTTTAATGCTGCATGTTTATGATTGGGCTTCTGGGAAACCTTTGTTTATCTTTCAGTACACTAATTGTATGCAGCTTATTAACAAATGAAGACTTGTTTGTCAATGTGGCCTGCCTGACATTTGATGGGAATTCTCATTCTGTGGGTTTATAAGCCTTTCCATTCATTCATATTAGCCTACATGAATGAAGGTATAATATGGAATACCCTAGTTTTTAAATGCAAGCAGCAAATATATAGTTAAATTGAAAATGAAGAAGTTAACATTTAAATATCAAAATTTCTGGGCAAATCTAAAAGCACAAATTGAAATTATGTCAACAGTACTTAAACTGATCATATTCTGAAAGTTCTTTCCTTGCATGAACTCTCTACTTGGACGTAGGTTTCTGATCTCTCCTTTTGGTCTTTCTTTTTAACATTTTAAAGTGAGCATTCTCAGGACCCAGAAGAAATTTAGATCTTCTTTCTAATTATTTAGTGTTCTTCGGATACCAAATTCATGATAGCTTTTGGTTTTCTATCAGCTTATGAAAAAAGCTTCAAGAAATAGAGCAACTCAAAGGAAGCTTCATGAGGCAAGGATGAAAGCAGACTGTTAATTTCCATCAGGAGAGCACGAAGAACATGGCCCTTTGTTCATTTACCCAGGGGGGAAAAGGCATCCAAACAGATGTGGTTGTGACGTAGGAGCATTCATTTGAAGGCACCAGAAAAACCACAAATGCAAACACATTTCTCTAGTATGGGGTCTCTTTGTGTTACATCCACTGATTCTATTGTGATGGCCCAAGGCCATCTTTCATTCTTTCTATAGAATTACTATGTAGTTTTTAAGAGTGAAGCAAGAGTATGCAGAGAAGAAAGTACAGTATGCCTAATAGGGTTTCTTTAAAAATGAGGATAGACTGAGAGATATGCCCATCTTTTTTACTGAGTACTGTGTTTAATAACCAACCAAATAAATTCAACAAACTCTGAAGGAATGTTCAGATTCATTTGTTTTACTAGTTGGTGTTTGGTTGTATGGGTTTTGTATAAAATAAAGGGCCAGAGCTTTGAGCCTAGAATTCCTTTTATCATCATACGGAATTCCTCATTGTAACAGGAGGTGAGCTGCATACCAAACTGCAAACACATCCCTTTGCTTCTCAGTGTTCCTATTATAAATTAAATATGAAAGCAAACCATTAACATAATGCTTTCTTCTTTAATTTTAGAGACATGTGATAGGAGAAAAGTGTATAAAAGCAAAGAGGAGAATATTTTGGATAATTAATATATCATTTAAACATTTCCCTGGTGCTTGGAGGAAAACATTTTTATTGTAATTTGTTATATATGACAGCAGAATACGTTACAATTCATATTATGTATATAGAGCACAATTTTTCATATCTCTGGCTGTTTATAAAGTATATTCACACCATTCGTGTATTCATACATGTACTTAGGGTAATGATGTCCATCCATCTCATTTCATCATCTTTTTTATCCCCATTCTCCCTCCCTTCCCTTCCTACCCCTCTGCCCTATCTAGAGTTCATCTAATCCTCCCAAGCTCCCCCCTCTCAACCCCACTATGAATCAGCCTCCTTATATCAGAGAAAACATTCAGCATTTGGTTTTTTGGGATTGGCTAACTTCACTTAGTATTATATTCTCCAACTCCATCCATTTACTTGCAAATGCCATGATTTTATTCTCTTTTATCACTGAGTAATATTCCATTGTGCATATATGCCACATTTTTTTTATCCATTCATCTACTGAAAGACATCTAGGTTGGTTCCACAGTTTAGCTACTGTGAATTGTGCTGCTATAAACATGGTTGTGGCTGTGGCCCTGTAGTATGCTGTTTTAAAGCAAATGATTAACTTAGTCATAACTTTAAGGAACTGTGAATACTTAATGATGCTAGAAGATTTCCTATTATTTGTTTAAGGTGAAATCTCTCATTGTGGAAAGGCTCAACCTTCTTAGACTAAGAGAATCTCAGCTGCCTACATTTGGCCAAATGTAAACAGCAGAGCTCTAATTTCACTCCTTCCCAGCTCTTTCAGAATCCACTGGCATAAGGAAAGTATCTCCACTTAATTAAATGACTCTAAGCAGGAGATTCGTCTTTAACAGAGAAAAGAGCCCATTTCTTTCCTGGTTAGAAGTTGTCATTTTAGGCCTTCAAATATTTATTTTGTACTGGTCTATTAATGTAACCTCCTCCCACCAGCACTTATGTCTTTTTTTTTTAAGTCTATTTGTTTTAATTGGTTATACATGAGAGTAGAATATATTTATGCACTTTGATATATCATATGTAGATAGGATATAATTTTCATTTTTCTGAGTATATGTGTTGCAGAATCACACTGGTCATGCAGTCATGTATATATATAAAGTAATGATGTCTGTTCTATTCTACTATCCTTCCTATCCCTACGTCCTCTCCCCTCCCCTCCCTTCACTCCCCTCTATCTAATCTAAGGTAACTCTATTCTTCTCTAGTGCCCTGCCCCTATTAATGTGAATTAGTTTCCACATAATAGAGAAAACATTCAGCCTTTGTTTTTTTGGGGGGATTGGCTTACTTTGCTTAGCAAAATGATCTCCAACTCCATCCATTTACTGGCAACTGCCATAATTTCATTCCTCTTTAAGCTGAGTAATATTCCATATATATACACCACATTTTCTTTATCCATTCATCTTTTGAAGGACATCTAGGTTGATTCCATAATTTAGCTATTGTGAATTGAGCTGCTATAAACATTGAAGTGGCTACATCACTGTCGTATGCTGCTTTTTTTTTTTTTTTTGGCAAACTTTTCATTTTCAAGCTGGGATTTCAATCTTGTTTATAATTGCTTTGTGAAGTTTTATTTTGTATTTATAAATACATATTTATGTCTATTGTATATTGCAAACATTTTCCTGATTTTTTTGTTATTTTTTTGCATTACAATTCTTATTACACATATAAAGCACAATTTTTAATATCTCTGGTTGTATACAAAATATATTCACACCAATTTGGGTCTTCATACACATACTTTGGATAATGCCTATCACATTCCACCATCATTTCTAACCCCATGCTCCCTCCCTTCTCCTCCAACCCTCTGCCCTATCTAGAGTTCATCTATTCCTCTCATGCTCCTTCTCCCTATCCCACTATGAATCAGCATCCTTACATCAGAGAAAATATTTGGCATTTGTTTTTTTTTTTGGGGGGGGATTGGCTAACTTCACTTAACATTTTCTTCTCAAACTCCATCAATTTACCTGCAAATGCCATGATTTTATGCTCTTTTATTGCTGAATATATTCCATTGTATATATATGCTACATTATTTTTATCCATTTATCCATTGAAGGGCATCTAGGTTGGTTCCACAGTTTATCTATCTTGAATTGTGCTGCTATAAACATTGATGTGGCTGTGTCCCTGTAGTATGCTGTTTTTAAGTCCTTTGGGTGTAGACAGAGGAGAGGGATAGCTGGGTCAAATGGTGGTTCCATTCCTAGATTTCCAAGGAATCTCCATACTGCTTTCCATAGTGGTTGTTCCGATTTGCAGTCCCACCAGCAATGTATGACTGTAACTTTTCCCCCACATCCTTGCCAACATTTATTGTTGCTTATATTTTTGATGATTGCCATTCTGACTAAGGTGAAATCTTAGTGTAGTTTTGATTTGCATTTCTCTAATTGCCAGAGATGTTGAACACCTTTTCATATATTTGTTGATTGATTGTATTTCTTTTTCTATGAAGTGTTTGTTCAGATCCTTAGCCCATTTATTGATTGGGTTATTTGGTTATTTTGGTGTTAAGTTTTTTGAGTTCTTTATATATCCTAGAAATTAATGCTTTATCAGAGGTGCATGTGAAGATAATCAGTTATCTCATACTAACAAAGGTGCCAAAACATTCACTGGAGAAAAGATAGTCTATTCAACAAATGGTACTGACGAAACTGGAAATCCATACGTAGCAAAATGAAATCAAATCTCTATCTCTCACCCTGCATGAAACCAATTCAAAGTGGATCAAAAACTTAGGCACTAGGACAGAGACCCTGCACCTAATAGAAGAAAAAAATATGTCCATATCAGCACTAATGTCTTTGTCATAACAAAATCCAAAATTGTACACTTCGAAGTAGATGTTTCCTGTTTTGTGGAAAAAGTTTTAAATAATTAATTTGATTTAGAATCTAAGAATGTTTTTCTTTGCCATTTTGACATTTGAAAACCCAGGGAAGATTTTAAATGTTAAAGCAGTTTCTGTTCCTCCTTCCATACATGTGGCTTTGTGGGTCTTGTATCTGTCACTGTGAATAAAGGCATATAAAAGAGGAGGGAAAAGACTATCTTTAACCAATCACCTTTTAAGCAGGCTCCCCTTCACAGAGGGGCATAGCTTGCAAGACTATTTAGTCAGTCTCCATGTTGTATGAAAGATGTGGGCATAAGGTGGGAAGTTTTGTGGGTGAGTTCTGTTCATCATTACTTCCTAGTTTCTGAGATTTCAAGTCATGTGTGGTCATTTATAAATTGAATTGAACATTATTTCCCAAGTAAATATATAATCAAGGAATTGGGGCAAAGAAAGAACATTAGTCAGCTCTAGGTGTCACAACAAAATGCCATAGACATAGATGGTTTCAACAGGAACATATTTTCTCCATGTTCTGGAGGTTGGGAAGTTCAAGAACAATATACCAGCTGACTCAGGTCTCAGTGAGGACCCTTGTCCTTGCTGATGTTCTGAAGATGGCCAAGTTCTTGCTGGCACCTCACATGGCAGAGATAGAGCTCTCCAAAGTCTCTTCCTATTAGGTCACAATTCCCATCATGTGGGTCCGATCTTCATGATCTCACCCAACACTGATTACCTCCCAGAGACCCCACCTCCACATACCATCCTACT